TTGGGATGGTTGACAGGTCGCACCTTCCCATTTTCTGATTCCTAGCATAGCTAAGTGCAACTAGGGACATGATTCAAAGTTTGCAACGACTTCGTGAAAGTCTTCCACTCTCCTGCAAGTGTGCCATTGGGATTTTAATTGTTTTTTGAGAATGGACACCCTTTATTTTGTTTTTTGGGAAATACCAGAACGCAAGCTGGTGATGCTGTTTCAATGCTTGGCTAAGCTTTTGACCTGGAATTGCTTTTGGCGGTGTGCCATTGGGATTTGACTCCAGGTTGACAGGTCGCACCTTCCCATTTTCTGATTCCTAGCATAGCTAAATGCAACTAGGGACATGATTCAAAGTCTGCAACGACTTCGTGAAAGTGTTCCACTCTCCTGCAAGTGTGCCATTGGGATTTTAGTTTTTTTTGAGAATGGACACCCTTTAATTTGTTTCTTTTGAAAATACCAGAGCGCAAGCTGGTGATGCTGTTTCAATGCTTGGCTAAGCTTTTGACCTGGAATTGCTTTTGGCGGTGTGCCATTGAGATTTGACTCCAAGTTGACAGGTCACACCTTCCCATATTCTGATTCCGGGCATAGCTAGATGCAACTAGGGACATGGTTCAAAGTCTGCAACGACTTCGTGAAAGTCTTCCACTCTCCTGCAAGTGTGCCATTGGGATTTTAGTTTTTTTCAGAATGGACACCCTTTAATTTGTTTTTTTGGAAAATACCAGAACGCAAGCTGGTGATGCTGTTTCAATGCTTGGCTAAGCTTTTGACCTGGAATTGCTTTTGGCGGTGTGCCATTGAGATTTGACTCCAAGTTGACAGGTCGCACATTCCCATATTCTGATTCCGGGCATAGCTAAATGCAACCTAATAACATGATTCAAAGTTTGCAACGACTTCAAAACATGATGCATCTGAGCCGCTGTGCCTTGGGGATTTGACACCTGGGGTAACTACTGTCTGCCCTGGGGTAACTCGGTGTGCCTTGCGGTTGGGGTAACTAATGGGTAAATGGGGTAACTTAGGGCGTCTGCTAGTATAATAATATTAATACTATTTCACAGTTATTATTACTATCATTATTATTATTATCATCTCATTTGACTAATAATAATAATGATAATGTATGATAATAATAATATTATACTAATAATATAATATTATCATTATTATCATTATTATTTCATTATTTGACTAATCTGATACAGTTTCAGTTTGTATTTCTGGGATGGGAAGGGGAGCCATCAACCATTCGCCGTCAACGCGGTCAACGCCGGTGAGGCGTTTCTTTTCCTGAGCCTGCTCAACTGGAGCCCTTGGCCTCAGTGGAATCAGATTGGTGCAAGCCATTTTGTATTGAGTTGAATAATATGGAGATACCAGATATGTATAGATATATATATATGTTACATATGTGTACTTAATTCTGTGGATATGGAGTTGTTGACTCGACGAATGGCCCTGGTTGGTCATACACTGGCTGAGAACTAGATGAATTTGTAGAAAAAAAATCTTTCACCGCCTGACTGCACCAATCAGTTTTCCGCCCTGGACCAACCCTGGAGGCATAGCATTGAAGCCGCTCAGCTCAATACACTCTGCAGCTTTGGTTGGTGTTGCTTGCAACAGGGTCTTGTCTTCACTTGCTTTGGTAGGTCTCGGTATCTAGTCATTGATCCTATCATGAGTACAAGTTCTGCAACCTTGTTATGGTGAATGCAGGCACTTCCTATTTTCAGTCTGCAATGGAGCAAACCTCTATGGATTGTTTGTCCATGTTTGCCCTGGCTTTGAGGCCCCAGCACATTCATCCTGATGCGCTATCAGAGGATGACCTGCAGGTGGACATTTTGTACAAACAACTTTTGAGGGGCTGATTGAAGATTTGCTGTCAGAAATCTTGTTTACGTTGTCTCATCATGTTTCATCATGTTTCATCATGTTTTATCATGATAGAAATCAGTCGCTTTCTGGAATTGAACAAATCGACTTCTGTTAAGGCTCCAGTGTGTCTTCTGCAGCATGGAGTTGGACAAGGAGGCCCCCTTCGTAGCTCTTGAGCGGTTTGAAATGCAGATCATGCTAAATGGGAGGCCCTTGACAATGCTCGAAGTTAGGATAATGTTGGCTGCCTAATAACCCCCCTAAATTTTTGAAAATTTTCCTTTTTTTTAGGGGGGTCAGCATTCCAATAGTAAATTTGGATCAGATTTCTGGAATCTAAGCTTTTGTTAATGAAAAGTGCTTGCTGCTTTGAAAAGGGTTTTGCTTTACTTTGCTTTCTTCAAACACCTGAAAACAAACCAGGGGAAGCACAATTGGACTTCATTATTGCCATGCCTGGTGCAGGTTTATTATTGCTATTCTGGGGCTTGTAAAGGGGATACCCTTTGTGGACCTGTTTTCTTGTTTTTTAAATAAGGGTTTTATAAGTAAATCAGCTGTTTGGTAATTGGATCAGATTTCTGGAATAAGCTCTGGATACTATACCATGCCCCCTGGACAAGGTCAGAACATGAGTTTTTCAGCAATACTAAAATTAAATTAGGCTAATTGACTTTTAGTATTGGAGAAAAAACTGGAGTTGGGAAAAAAGTTTCTACTATTGCCATGTTGGGTCCACTATTGGCCATGCCCTCTGGACAAGGTCAGAACATGAGTTGTTTGGCAATACTAAAATCAAATTAAGCTAATTGACTTTTAGTATTGGAGATAAAGCTGGAGTTGGGGAAAAAAGTTTCTACCAATGACAAGGTATCACTATTGGCTAGACAACATTAGCCCCATTGCAATGCTGAAAAGACTCCCTCCTGGATGAATCATGATGCATCACACTGGATCGTGTAACACCTGTGGACGAAACAGTATCACTAGTAGGTTAGGCTCATCAGTATAGAAAATCAAAATAGTTGGAAATCAGTCGTGAACTAGCAAGTATTTTGTAGCTCAGATGGAAAGGACTAAGCCAACTTTCCCTAGTTTGCATGGCTGAAGTGCGTTTTTTACAGAGGTCATCACACTCTTGATGACCTCCCATTACGGAAGGCAGGGTCCTGCAGTGGCTAACCGTTTGATTTGACGTGATCACTGTCAATGCGCATCAACATTACAGTAATTTCACACTGACATTTAGATCCGAGGCTTGTGCACTTGTATCACTTGGCAGTAGGAGGGCTTTATCGCACAAAACGAACACATGTTTATCATTCATTGTTTACCCATCGTGCAGGAGCTTCTTGCTGCACAGAAAGCACAGCAGGCACCGTCAGCTGCACCAGTGGCCTTGAATGGCTCCAAAACATTCCTTTCCGCAAGATGGCATGGGTATATACAGTACTAGTTTATACACAGGAAACATGACCCGATTTGTGGGTCCAGTGCTACTTTTTTTTTGTGCTATACTGACCCATACTGCCAGGAGCTCGCAGCAGCGCAGAAAGCACAGCAGGCAGAATGGATTGGATGAGTTTCTGAGATTGATGGATTCAAGACGTGAACAAAGCGGTTGTATTCAGTGACAATCCTTTCGTGTCAAAACAAAGAATATACTGTATACTGGTATGTTTTCCCAGGTACTAGAGGAATCAGATTGACTATTGGATGTAGTTTGCATTTCTTCAAGTGCAGACGGAAACAAGGTGAAGAATCACTCCTTCGCCGCCTTTGTTTTTGCCAGGATCTCTTGAAGAAGAAGCGCCTACAGGAGATGAACGACATGGCCAGCACCATGCCTTCAGAAATTGATGTTTTTTTTTTCACAGAGATTGGGGGCAGTTGGGGGATCTGGAAGTCCTTACAACCGCCATGAAAAATCAGAATAAATCAGACACCTACCCAAAATCAGACGCATCCAAGGCGTTCATTTCGACTTCGACGACGTACCTGTGCGAAAGGCGCCAAACAACTGCGTATGGATAGCCACAGGAAATCCCAGGAATAATTAGTAATATCATGTAATATCTGATAATATCTGTAATATCTGAGAAGTTCCGGCCTTGGGCCTCTAAGGGTCGCGGCATCGCTTGGAACCACGAGATTTGGATCGCTTAGAACCGCGCAATTTGGATCGCTTAGAACCGCCCTGGAATCATCATCATCATCATCATCATCATCATCATCATCATCACCATCACCATCACCATCACCATCACCACCACCACCAGCAGCAGCATCATCATCATCATCATCATTGGCTGGTAGATCCTACCCTTTTCTTCCCTAGCCCCACCCCACCCCCCAAGGTGGAAGTGTGATGGTAAGTCGAAGGAAGTGGAGTAGCGGTTTTGTCCCTATAATGAAGTTAAGCAACGGGTGTGGCTGCTAGAGCCTAACCTTTTCTTCCCTAGCCCCACCCCGCCCCCCAAGGTTGAAGTATGATGGTAAGGCGAAGGAAGTGGAGTAGCGTTTGTGTCCCTATAATGAAGTTAAGCAACGGGTGTGGCTGCTAGAGCCTAACCTTTTCTTCCCTAGCCCCATCCCACCCCCCAAGGTTGAAGTGTGATGGTAAGGCGAAGGGAGTGGAGTAGCGGTTGTGTCCCTATAATTAAGTTAAGCAACGGGTGTGGCTGGTAGATCCTACCCTTTTCTTCCCTAGCCCCACCCCACCCCCCAAGGTGAAAGTGTGATGGTAAGTCGAAGGAAGTGGAGTAGCGGTTGTGTCCCTATAATGAAGTTAAGCAACGGGTGTGGCTGCTAGAGCCTAACCTTTTCTTCCCTAGCCCCACCCCGCCCCCCAAGGTTGAAGTGTGATGGTAAGGCGAAGGAAGTGGAGTAGCGGTTGTGTCCCTATAATGAAGTTAACATTTTAGCAGCCTCAACCATCAACATCTGGACGGGTGGTTCTGGTGATTCCAATTGGGTGGTTCTAAGTGAGTCTCCTGCCGCCTCGAAGCTTGGAGATAGTGGGAGACCACTTGAGAGTTCACCTGTTTAGAATTCATAGGTGGATCACAGCGTCTTGTGACACTATTCCATATCACACACCAGCAGACTGTGACTGCAAGGAGCTTCTAGCAGCTCAACACGCGCAGCAGGCACTACTTGTGGAGGAAGTATGATCTCTCAACTGAAGAATCATGGGTAGCCAGTGGGGAGACACACGATGTTCATCATTGCTTATCATTGTATATCATTGTTTTTTATTGTTTTTATTCTTTACATTGATATTATATGATATTATTACATATTATTATCATATAATATGTTTTCAGCTCATGATAGAGTCTGATAGAGTATACAGCATTTCTGTGGTACCCCAATGTGCGCAGCTGCAGATTCCGACGAAGGTCCCGGCGGTCCCAGCCACGATCCCAGCGAAGCCGGCGAAGATCCAGACGGCCACGGTCCCTGCGCGTACGGTGAAAGTGCCGAAGGTCGCAGAAGAAGCTGCGGGACATTGACACTTGGAGGGTAAATGAAGGTAAAACGAAGTAAGACATGGTAAGGATGTTGTTGAACAGTGGTTCCAATCAGCTTGACTAACCATAGTGGAGAAATGCTTGGGACTCGTGAAGCCAGTGGCAAGGACAGGACAAGGCCCTGGTGTATGATACCTTCCCAACTACACATCAGTAAAGTGCCAAACTTAAGCCATAGTTTGTGCAGGCAGTGCAGGCAATGCCCAGGTGGCCTACTTCGCTTGAGGACGCCTGGGAGCTGAATGCTGCTGTGTTCGCCCCACCTTGCCACAACGCCGCCCTCAGAGTTTTTACATGCTCGGATGAAATCGCCCCCAGAAGTATTTCGGGGAGCACGCTTCAGAATAAATGATACCCCCAATTTGTACATGTAATACATGTATTACATTGTATTACACGTTACAGTACAAGATAGTATAGCTGAATAATTATACACCATGAACATAACATGAAGACTGCGCTGTCCGTGGTGTACTTTAGCCCACCAGTGGTAGTTGTCAGGACCTTTTGGGCCATCGGATTCCTCCATTGCGAAGTCAAGCTATTGGGCCACAGGAGTCCCAGGAGCCAAGTCAACAGATTTGACATGTCGGATGTCGGTGACTCTGACCTATCATAAGTATCACAGTATCAGTATGATTATATATGATACATGATACTGTAGTCACATATATATATATATATAGTTATATATATATACAGTAGCCACAAAGGGGGGAACATTTGTCATTTTACCGTATTTTACTATAATTTATCTTATTTATTATACTCTTCCTGTGCCAATTGTGGTTCCATAGCCAGGAGGAAGAGCTGCAGATGGAAGACCAGCGCCTTCGCGAAGAGGACAGTCGCCTGAGGCCATGTGTGAAGTGGGCCTGTTGGGCTACCGATTTCTTTGGGAACGGATCAAAATCTACTTGTATTATGGGAGGGTATGAACATCCATTTACCAACTATGTCGATGTTCACTTGATCCATACCCCATTTATCAAGGCTTTCTCTAATGTGAGATTTGAATCTAGGAGAGTCATTTTTGTCCAAACAGAGCGTCGCATTGTGCTGGATGTCCTGGAAATGGCTAGTGAGATGATATCAGAAATTCTCAATTTATATAGTTCGCGCAAAGCAACATGCAATGTATGAATTCTTTGGTGATCTTTGGTTTTTTTCGGGCAAGCTGTGAACACACATCGCATGAACACACGTTGCAAGGCAAGAGAACGAACGCTTGCAGCATGCCCTGCTAGAATTGTGTGGATGCCCAGAGAGACAGTGCTGGATCCATTTGGAACGAAAAAGCATTGTTTCCGAACCATGTCCGGATGGTTTGTTGTCAAAGAAGCCTTTTCTTGGCAGTTTCGTGGTGGAGTTGGGACCAGTCTCGCAGACCATCCAAGATCTGTATTTCCAGAGTTATCGTCAGGCTGCATGCAACACACAATCGATAGGTGTAAACAATTTGTGACTTGTCAAATGCGTTTCTCCATTGGCAGGCAGTAACTTGTCATGTCCGACTTTTCAAGCGGGGACTGCCATAAATGTGCATGGCACATGCTTGAATTACATGAATCGATGCAGAATATACCTACCACCCACGGCTGTTATCCCAAGCAGCATAGTATCAACTGCAGGCAATCGTAGTATCAGCCCGGTAACATTTCCGACTTGTAACATAGCCTCTGAAGCCATCCAGGTTTGGTTCTGATATCATGCTAAAGGTCTCCTAAGGTCCAGCCCTACATTCAACTGTGAAGATTCGGTGAGCTGCCAGATCGGCCAGGAGCAGTGCTACCAATCGCAGCGGAACCGTGGCAGAAGATATGGCAACAGTCCTGACCTCCCTTTTGGAAGAGGCATGACATTTTCATACATTTTCTACTGAAGCAGACGGGTATCGCTCAAAATAGAGTACCAATGGACCCACACAATTGGTGATTTTTAGCACTGAAACAGCCTGAAACAGCCATTCTTGGGGATCAACAATTTTGGACTAGTGCCCTGTATTTCAAGTGTCTCATGACGTTTCCTGCGGCGATCTGGCAGCCGACGAAACCTCCAAAGCATGCAAAGCTGCCCCATGCTGGCAACAAGACCTATATGGGAGCGGCTTGGCAATGGTGAGTGATGGTGAGTGCATTCCGATCATGTGTTCTGTGTTGCAGCACAGCGTGCCTGAATGATAAGTCGTAATCATCGTAATTGTTTTCCTCTGTGTTTTGGAAGAACTGCGCAATTCGCTTGTCCATAAAGGTTTGGAGTCCAGGAGGTACTCCTTGTGGGATGCAGACTTGAAGCGTGAATGCTGTAGTAGAAGGTGTAGCTGCCGTGATATGAAGCGGACTTCTCATTGGTCTCCTAGTCTCTATTGGCACTTGCTCCTTATTTGTAGATTCTACTTGCGTGTATTCTTGGATCATCATGCAAAGGACAGACAGTCTTTGCAGTCAAAGGACCGTTGACTCATGGACATGGTCACAGTCGCTCTTGGTTCATCTGGGTGTGATTAAAAGTGCTTGGTACACAATGCAAAGAACTTTAGCATAAGCAGATATAAGCAGCAAATCCTCCTGGTACCACATCGCCATCTAAGACGGGCTCCCATGAAATGGATCCAAAGAAGCGGGTCATGACCGTGAGCCTCATCATTTGTCACTTGACCGAAGTAGACTCCTGAGAGCTTCAAGAATTTAGATGTCGTGAGTGTGTTTGGATGAAGTAACTCGGGAACCAGGCCTTTCATTCATGGTGGATGTTCCAACTGATTCGGGTATAGATTGTCCATGCATGAAAGCTAACTCCCTGCTGGGTGTGGCATTTGAGATCTGGCGCAAATCGGCTGTTGAGGTGGTTTCATTTGCTTCATCGTCTACGTTGCCTACCATGCATATGTCTTTTTCAGAAACGTTCGAACAGATCCTCATGGAGATGGCGTGGTGGATACTGAGCAGAATCCCAGAAAGATGACTATAAGACATTCCAAGACCCTTCAATATCATTTCATAATATTTCATATCTTAATTGATCTTCACCTACACATACCTACACTGAAGATCAATAAGCATTAAGACCGACTACATAGACCTGTTTTTGCCGCTTGTGACAAGCAAAATCTCATTCCATGCAGCTTGTGGGGCCGAAAATCATCGAAAATCCATCACAGTCACCACATCAGGGTTTTGTAGTTCCCCAAAAAAATAAGGTGACCCGCGGCATGATTCCAATGCTTCCCTCATTGATCATGCTGTTGATGGCTGCAAACATAAGAACCTGATCAGCATCACAGGCCAGAGTTGTGACTCAAGAATTTTGCTGTATCTTTCAGTCAGGTACACAAAGATCAAGGTCTTCCCGCCACATACTCGATAATGAAATATAGTAGGTTGCCACCCTTGCTGCTGGAACCCTCATCATCCTCAGCCTGAGGACTATGAGGATGTCAGGGAGTTTCATGGTTGCACCTTGGGGTTTGTTTCTCCCAGCATTCAAAAAGAGTTGACAACAAAAAGAACAATTTCTAGGGCCAATGATGGCATATCGCTGTGGAATTCTCTTCGCATTTATTTCATCAGCATTTATTTCTCCTGGTCCTTTGTCCCATCAGATCAAAAAACAGGTTGGATAGGACGCCCTCCCGTGCACAGCTGCCCTTGACAGCACAGGTTCTTTGCCGAGCTCATTTGTTGCGGTTTGAGCTACTCTTCGGCTGTCAATATGTCCTTCGTCCTGGCCTCAACGTGTTACCATGTGAGTAACCGACAAAATTATTGTAATACTAATTTAGTTTTGCTTCGCCTTGGCCTTTCCGAGGTTGCACAAAACCTTCACAACCGATAGGGGACGACCCTATACCGATACCCCATTTGTGATACCTCCGGGAATGCTGAAATCCTCACAACGGATAGGGGACGACCCTAATTTGTGCATGGCATTAAATTTAACATATAAATTTGTCCGCTACTCATGTCTTACTACAACGCATCCACTGTCAAGTACTCTCGCGCGCAGCTGCAGTGAGGTCTTTGTGATCGCAGGTGCAGGCTTCGGCTTCCTGTGGTGGCAAGGGATCATTCAGCCCTTCTTGAAGGAGCTCGCTTGCTATGTCACCTGGCAACACTATGTAGGGCAGGGGCAAGGAGGACTTGCGTGCAGGTTAAGGGCAATTGCCCAGACGGCCACGTCGTCCCTGGTGACCGCACCAAGGTTTACCTTGGATTGATTGTCTCACTCTTGGTGGGTGTGATCTTTGCAGAGCTCTGGTCGAAGTTTTTTGCACCTTGTCTGCATTTCGAGGCGTTTCGAGGTCTGTGAACTGGTGAGTCATTGATTCTTGACATGCCTTGACAGAAACCGGCTTGAATTTGTTTGGAGCCATGATGTCTCCAGATGTCTCTGGGGTGTGAGGACGTATTTAGCGCTCAAATGCAAGCGATGGAAAAGATCATGGGCTTCTTGAGGATTGACAAAGCTCAGGCCTGGAAAAAGACGGAAACACAGATATATTCCATTTATATCGACATATTTCCATTTTGTCTTTGCTTCTGGTCCAAGGCACAAGGCTGAAAGTGTACTTCACACTCTGAACACAATGATAAACTTTTGTGTAGTTAAATTATCGCGTGAGCCAGCAGCAGTTTTTTTGTTACATGTAGCATCATGTAGCAATATTGCTATGGACTTGTGGAACATGTGCCATAGACCGTTTTTGTGTATTTTCCTCGCCAAGTCTTTTCGACCATGTCACACCTGTCCTCCAGAGGACTTTGCCAAAGAAATCTTCCACGATGCCCAAGAGCCTTGGCAGGAACACGATGGGGGTACAGGCAATAGACCAGAATGGTGGATGGTGACAGCATGGAGAAGATGCGGGATGTTTGTTTTTCTCTTTGAATGAAGGGATGGTGGACATACTGTAGGACTTTCAGCGGACAGAAATCTGAACTCATCAGCGTTCTGGAAATAGTCAGCCTGACAGCTGAGGATGGTGCTCGGAGGATGGTGCAATAAGAGCCCCATTTGGACACAAAATTGGACGCCCATTCTGTCAGAAAAAAGGGGCGAGTGTTGTGACAGTCGTGTTACTTCTGGCAGTTCATGGACTCCGATCTTTCAGAAATTCTATGAAATTCTGATCTCATTATTTGATGGCAAGAAACGTCTCAAAGTATTCAAAGTCCTGCAACCCGGGATGGAAGGTAGCTGCCAACTTGGCTCGTCTGAGGTTGGAGGAGTTGGCCTGTCATTTGGAACATCGTTACAGGCCGACCTTGTGCCGGCACTGTGACGACACAAGGTGAATGAGGTGAATGTATTAAATTCATTTGAAACATGTATATAATATATAATATATTAATATTTATATCATCATATATCTGGAATTCTACATGATAGAGGTATGGGAATGCATGGGGTATCTACGGATGCAAGCACATCTTCAATTGCAGCCATCGGTGAGACTGCGTGTGAGGATTCAAAGCGCCATGGCCTTCGAAAATCAGTACAATGTTTACAGACTTTGGAGAAATTTGGCAAGAACTTAGTGGCCGCTCTGGGCGGGGCATGGATATTGTGTTCGTATGGAAGGAGTTGCCCCAAAAAGCCGATGTCCATCTTTCCTTTCGAAATCACCCTTATAGATGATATAGATGGCCATGTCACCTTGAAACGTGTCCTGTTGGGAGGCAAACACATCGTCACCTCATATTTGTGTTCTGTTTCAGAGATGTTTGTTTCCTGTGCTATGCAATATTGCTTCTGGCACAATTCTTTCAGAACTTTCAGTTTCAAGGGTCAAATTCAAAAGTGACGGAGAACGCTTATTCTTTCTGATGAGCAAAAACATCAAAAACACTCTTCTCCGGTGCAGGGAAACCTCCAGGGTCCTAAATTCCTCCCGAGACTTGCCGGCGGAGCCCTGCCCTCTTGCGCCGAGGAAATTTTCCTGCCGGCGCGTTTGAAGGTTCACCGCGCAGCAGATGCGCAATGTGGGAAGCTTTTGAATGTTCAGTCGATGGCGGGATTTCCGGTTGCTGTGAATTGTATAGGGTCCGCCTTTACTGCATGGATTTCAAGTTTGCAGATCTGACAGGAGAAGAACCATCGTTTGAACTGGAACTTCAAGGTGCTTGGGAACACACTGCCTACTGTAAATCTTCATCCTGGCACTTAATGTCGGATCCTGATTAGTGTAGGGCCCCCCCAAACAATTCTGAGACTCTCTTTAATGTGATTTTTTTTAGGGATCGGGGTCTGAATAAAATTTTATCAGTTGATTTTGATGGATTTCAATTTACTTTCAATTTACTTTCAATTGATTTTCAATTTATTTTTCAACTGGTTTCAATTTATTTTCAATTGATTTCAATTTACTTTCAATTGATTTTCGGTTGATTTCAATTGATTTTCAATTGATTTCAATTTACTTTCA